GAGAAGTTGCTGACCAGACAACTCTCCTCTCACTCTCTGACTTAATTCCCAGGGCCCTTTGCAACTTGAGGAACAATTCTAGGATTTGACCTCTAGATGGTAGTCGCGCCTTACAACTCCGCCACTGTTCTTTGCCGATTAGCTGGCATTCCTCTGCCTCTTCCCCCATCCCAGTCAGTTGTGGTCCAGTCTGGCAGGGAGGGGGTGAGGAGGAGGATGCGGGAAATCAGGGTCATGAGACTATAGGATCAAAGCTTTAGAGATGGAAGGGAACTTCAAGGTCATTTTATAAGTCTGCAGTCTTCAAATCTCTGACTTCCTTCAAGGCTCAGATTAAATGTCATCTCCTATAAAAAGCCTTTCCCCATCCCTCCAGCCATTAGAGCCTTCTCCTCTCAGGTTACCAGAGTTATTTACATCTAGTTATTTACATGTTGTCCCCTTTTTACTATTTTTCTCTCCCTCTCCCCACCCCCCAATCCACCCAAAAAAGAAAAAGAGAAAAACAAAATCCCTGTAACAATATGGACAGTCAATCAAAACAAATTCCCAAAATGACCGTGTTCAAGACCTTAGATCTCATTCATTCTATAATTCTTTTTTTGCTTAGCATTCCTTTTCTGTGTGGGAATAAATTCCATATCCAATGTATGTTGCATATTGGGTACTGTTTTTACTTTCTTCCCTTGGGGAAAACCCGAGACTTTGAGCCCACAACTATTTCTAAAATTACCAACCCTATAAGGAACGACTTCTTGAAAATACAAATTGGGGATAGAATAAAGCATTGAGGAATGTAATTCCCCTACTGAGAAATCATGCAACCCTAGAGCAATGAACCTTGAGCAGACATATTGGCTTCTGCAGATCTAAGCAACCCCTTTGAGATTAGTGACGCCAACTTAGATGGCTTGGAAATTTTGTACCAAAAAACCTTTGGCTATCAGAAGCCCAGAGCATTTGTTAGATAGATAATTTATTGACAGTGAGTTACAATATCCATCCATAAGCTGGAATTGGCTTTGAAGCAAGCCACCCTTGAAAATTTTCAAGACTGTGTTTGGAGCTCCACTTCAAGACTGGAACAAAAACGATCCATTGATTAATACTGAGGCAAGTGCTAAATTGGTTGCCACCACCTATAGATGGATAATAGCCTGGCCAACTGAGTTGAACTCCCATCAATGGCCGAGAAAGACCGACCTAGATGCAATTCTCCTGTTCTATAGATCCAGAGAACTTGCTGTCGACATGAACACCGTGGTGAGCCCCAGAGAAGGGATAAAGGAAATCTATGACATTAAATGAACAGGGCCACTCACAAAAAAGTACAGTCTAAGGACTTTTTTTTTTTTTGGAAAGTGTACTATTGGTGGAAGAAAATTTTGAAAAAATGTGGGGTCAATTCACCTTGTCCTGGCTTTCTTGGATACTGGCAGTGAGCACAGCTGCAGGGGGATGGTCTATGAAAAGTGATCTAGAAATAAAAGCCTTTCCTCAATTGATGTCAAAAGACATGAATAGGCACTTTTCAGAGGAAGAAAGCCAAACTATCAATAGCCATATGAAACAATACTTTAAGTCACTAGTAATTAAAGAAAGGCAAATTCAAACAACTCTGAGGTGCTACCTCATACTCATCAGATTATCTAAGTCAACGAATAAGAATAATGACAAATGCTGGATGCGATGTAGGAAAATAGATACTATAATTCATGGGTTGATGGAGCTGTGAACTTGTCCAACTATTTTGAAAAGCATTTTGGAGCCATGTCCAAAAAGCTATTAAACTGTACCCAGCTATTAAACTGTATTAAACTTGACCCAGCAATACTGCTACTAGGTCTATAGCCCCAAAGAGACCAAAGAAAGAGTAAAAGGACCCATATACACAAAAATATTTATAGCAATTTTTTCATCGTGGCAAAGAATTGCAAACTGGGGGATGTTTATCAATTGGGAGAATGGCTAAAGAAGTTATGGTACATGAATGTGATGGAATGCTACTGTGTTATAAAAAATTGATGAAAGGGATGGTTTTCTGAAAAACCGGAGAAGACTTATATGTACTGATGCAAAATGAAGTTAACCAAAGCAAGAGAATAATTTATATAGTAATGACAATATTGTAAAGATAATTAACTTTGAAACACTTAGGTACTCTGATCAGCACAACAACCAAACCACGTTTCACAGGACTCATGATGAAACATGCAATCCACCTCCTGATAGCTGTTGTATAGATTAAAACATATTTCCTTCCTTCCTTCCTTCCACATAGCTAATGTAGGAATTTGTTTTGCATGATCATACATATTTGTAATGGGTGTTGGTTTTTCTTGCCTTCCTAATGGTTGGGTGGAAGGACAAGGAAAGGAGATAATTTGGAAATAAAAATAAAATAAATTAATTTATTTACTAATTAAAATATTAATAAAATTTAATAAGTTTAAAATATAATATAATTGAATAATTTAAAAAGTTTGTTTCTATCCTTTACTTCTCCTTTTTTTCATTTTTAGTTTTTGTGGATATCTTTTGTTTTTATGTCATCTTTATTTTCACGAACGTATCCTTCCCACTTCCCCAGCCAGTGAGACATCCTTTTAATTTTTTCAGTTTAGTTATTTTCAGTTCAAAATTCTCTTTTGACATCTCTTTTAACAAAGAATAAAAGGAAAGAAGGGAAAAAAGCATTTCAACAAAACTAATCAATACATCAACCAAGTGTGGTCGTATATGAGACATTTTTAATCCATAATCCTGCACCTTCTGCAAAAATGTAGGGAGATGCATTTAAAATGTTTTTCTTTTTCATTATGAACTTAACAGACATCAGCAAATGAACATTTCATTTACAAAGAAGTACAGGCAAAACATACATTTTCTTTTAAGTATTTTAAATTTAATAAGCCAGACACAGACAAAATTGCTTTGCTTGTCTGTATCCCCTTTTGATCCCCTCTATCTTCCTTCTGTTCTCCTCTCTGTACTTTAAAAATGTTTCATTGAAGTTCTTTTCTCTTCTTCTTCTTCTTTTTTTTTTCCATCACTATCATTACCTACTGACTCCATCCCCTTCCCATCCCACCCTAGCAAGTTCCATTGACACACTGAAAACAATCTGTCATCATATGTGATGTTCCACAGCCCTAAGCTCCCACTCTGCAAAAGAGTTGTAAGCACCGGGGACAGAGACGGGGGGAGGGGTGTCTTCTCATGTCTCTTCTTTGGGCCCAAAACTTGTTTTTTATTCTTCGTACATTTATTTTCCATTGTTTCGTGGCTGTTCTTTCCATTTACAGCATTGTAGTTATTGTATATATTGTTTTCCTGGTTCTACTTACTTCACTTTGCATCAGTTTTTGTGACTCTTTCCATGATCTTCTATATTCATCTTATTTGTTATTTTTTACCACAGAGTATTATTCCATGTTAGTTGTTAACTATAATGTGTTTAGCCATTCCCCCAATTGATGGGCATAATAATAACAATAATAACTAACATTTACATAGCACTCTCAGGTTTGCAAAGCACTTTCTTTACAAATATTATCTTGTTTTATATTTACAACTACCCTGGGAGGTATTATTAATCCCATTTTACAGATGAGGAAACTGAGGCAGAAAGCGGTTAAATGATTTGCCCAGGGTCACACAGCTAATAAGCTTGTGAGCAGTCTGTTTTGTTTCCAGCTCTTTGCCACAATAAAAAATGGATTCTATACATATTTTGATGTAGATGGAATCTTTCAGTCAACAACCTCCTTAGGCTATATTAGGCTATTCTTTTATTATTTTGTTTTTATTTTAATTTGTTTCAATGAAGAAAAATCAGTTTTCATTTTTTCCCACCTGCCTCTCCATTAGGAAAAACAAAAGCAAAATTCTTGCAAGTAGGATGTATAGTTAAGCAAAATAGATGCCCAAATTGTAGCCTAGTATCTAGTTCTTGCTTATCAAATCTTCCATTAACCTAGTCTTCTGTTTTTAACTAGTACCACCACCATCATTTCCACTGTTCTCCCTTGCACCCACTTTTGTATTAAAATCACAGCATATCAAGTATATCTTGACTCAATTTGCAAAATCACTTCCGAATTCTTTACAGTTTCCCTTCTTTGTCTTTTGCAATACTCTTCGATGCAAGACCTTTTCTCTTCGTTGTGATCTTTTTGTTTATACTCATAATGAGCACCACAAAGTAAGATGTCTAGATGTCCAATGAAATGGGGTTTCTTATTGCCTTTGAGTGTTCTATGAAACCCACTGCACCAACTCCTTTATTTGCCCCTCCAAGGAGAACTTGTGAGCCTTCCTTCCATTTAGCCGATGTTTCCTTATGAACTTTTGGTTCTTGCTATAAACAGGCCAAAAATATAAATGTTGATATGGTTGATCTCTTCTAATAAAATGTCACCTCCAACCCATCTCGGCTTCTGACTCCACAGTATACTTTTCTACTTTGCTCCCTGGAGGGTACCTTTTCAATGTTCTCCTCCTTCTCCCCTCCCCTGCTTCAGCTCCCTTCTTGTGATGTCTTCTCCTTTAGAATACAGTTATCTGTTCCACATTGTGGGGATTAGGGGTGTGCCCCTACGATCTGGAAAATCCACCTAAAATTTTTCGGCCCTCCTTTCTTACCAAAGAAATTGAAATTATTATGGTGTTAAATGATAAAATATGTTGATATTACACAATACTATGGATATATTTTACGCATTTCTGAGTTTCTAAACTTTTTCTGTGTCATTTGTTGGCCTTTGTGTATCATCTGTGGCTTCCACAAAACTCCCCCAAAATTCCCATTTAATTTCTTATGCCGGCCCATAATATACTGAAACCATGATGGGGAAAGCCATGATGTGGAAGGACTAACTGTATAAGCTTCTTGAGAATAGGGACTGTCTTTCTTTTTGTTCTTAGCACAGTGTTTGATACGTAGTTTAGGCTTAGTAAATACTGTATCTAATCTAATTCGTTAATTATTGAACCAAGAACTCACATTTATAGTACCAAGAATTAAATTCACGTTTATTAAGAAACTAAGATTTTACCCTCTCTCTTTTCTTTTCATCACCATACCACCATTGCTGTAGAAATAGAAGGGGACCACGTAGGACTTGCATTTTTCATTGTTTCACGGTTGCCCTGGCTGACAAATTCAGCAGCTGGTGGCTAATCAGCTGGTGATGAGCCTTTCTGTACTGTGCCAGGTTAATATTTGGACAGCAGATTCAGATAGTTGCTGGGATAATAACCTGAAGCCTTCCCTTCTTGGGAGGTCCTATCTGGAGATATCTTCTGATGACATAGCCTTTGAGAACCCAAGGTTGTGTCTACCCCGTAATGAGGCACCAAAGCAGAATTGTGTGGAGGACCGACAAGAATCTCATGAATCAAGGTAGGTACTTTTATTTTTCAGGGTATAAATTTAAGAGAGAGTATGGCATAGTGGACAGAGGGCTACCCTTGGTTTCGGGAAGACCTGGGTTCAAATCCTATTTTTGATGTAACCTAGCTGTGTGACCATGGACAAGTCACTTAACCTCTCAATGCACTGGGCAATTCTGTAAGACTCTTAAGTCACAGATGAGTTACCCATGTGCACCCTTGCACTGAGCTTTAGGGAAGAGGCCCTAGCTCCATATCAGGAGTTGTTCACCTTTTTGTGTGTGGTGAAGCCCAGGGACCCCTTCTCAGAGCCATGTTTTTAAATTCATAAAATAAAATACAAAGGATTACAAAGAAAACCTATTATATTGGAATTCAATTATTAAAATATAAGGGGGGAGAGGAAAGTCCACAAACTCAAGATTAGGAACTGCTGCCTAAAATCAGAAGAGCTGGGTTAAAATACCTCTCCTGGTGTTTATTTCCTGTGTGACCTTGGACAAGTCACTCAACTTCCACAGGCCTCAGTTTCTTCATCTGTAAAATGAAGGGGTCAGGCTGGGTAATTTCTGAAGACTGCTTTGGCTCTATGATCCCATGATTTCCCTATACCAGCTGTTCTAAAAATATAGCATACAGGCCCCTGTGGGTTCCTAAGATCCTATTGGTGGGTCCAGGAATTTAAAAGTATTTTCATAATAACACTAAGATGTTTTAATTTCTGATAAATAAATATTGATAGATATAACCAAAGGTATGCCGATAAATGTTCAACAACCAGTCCGTTTCTCTCCCCTCCCCCCCCAGCAATTTAAGCAGGACACACTTCTACATTTAATCTGCATTAGCAATATTTTTCCATAATTTTCTTAATTCTAGACAGTCAAGAAAATAATAAATTAAGCCCTGATTTATAGAGTCTGCTGATTTCTGAGGTGTAAATGCTCACATTGAAATTTAACAATCAGTTTTCAGATCCAGTTGGAGGTGGCTCTAGGACACCACTGGATATAACCCATAAATAAAAACTCTTTGGGACAGATCGTCAATAATTTTTAAAGGGTGTAAATGGTGGGGGCAGCAAGGTGGCACAGTGGAGAGAGCACCAGCCCTGAAGTCAGGAGGACCTGAGTTCAAATCCAGCCTCAGACCAAACACTTGACACATTTATTAGCTGTGTGACCCTGGGCAAGTCACTTAACCCCAATTGCCTAAAAAAAAAAAAAAAATTGGCAAGAGCTGACAAATAAGGGTTTGGTCAATTATTTTGCCGATTGTCTAGACTTCAGAAAGTGGTGGAGAAAATGTTAAGAACAGATTAAACTTGTGTGTCTTGAATACGTTTTTTGGGGAGGGAGAACAGATTTTCAAAGTTACCAGCACAGCCCTGATTAAACCAATAGAATCAGCAAAATTGGTCCCCTACCCCCCACCCCCCCACCCCCCAGCCTCCTTTGCTAGAGATAAGCCTAGGGCCTTCACAGGGAACTCCTCTTTCCTGTAAACAACTAGATTTGTTTATCTCTCCTCAAATGTACTTTTAGAACTATCTAATCAGTGCCTTCCAGACCTCAGATCTTTGATCTAACAATCAGATCAGTCAACATATTTAAGAGAGGGACTGAGAAAAGAGAGTTTCTGATGGCTTCATCTAAACAGAACAACAGGTTTCTAGGGATGAGAAAAGCAAATCTTTTTCCACAACTTCATTTTGGGAGAAAGCAGCAAGCTTTGGAACTCTGGGAGAAACGACAGATCAATGAGTTTGATTAGACAGAAGGCTTCTGAAAAAGAGTAACAGGTGAAATTTAAATGTCCAACAATAGGAAAAATAAAAAGTCAGTCCTGCAAAAAGAGAACATTGGAAATTATTTGTTGAAGTAACTGGGAAGAATATTGGAGGGCCAGTTGCCTCTGGCTTTGCTAGATGACCAGATAAACTGTCCTACAGAGCTCTATGGAGAGGCAGGCAGTAGGCTGTAGCAGGGGTGGGGAAACTTTTCATTTTGGAAATTTAGCTGTAATCAAATAAGGCCACCTTCAAGAAACTTCTATTAGATATACTTTAAAATATACATTATTTTGTAAAAATCGAACTCCCATGTATTTAATAATTTCAAAAATTGAAAACTATTTGTTAATTTCAAAATTAACTAAAGCCACATGCTGCCTTAAGGCCAGACGGCAGGTTCCCCACCCCTGTGGATATAGCCAACCTTGGAGTCAGGAAATATTGGATTCAAGTCCTGCTTTAGATATATACTGGTTGTCTGGGAAAGTCATTTACATGATCCTAGTCAATTATCTAAGACTCTGAGTTGTATCTAAGACTCTGAGTTGCAGACTGGTATTTGGAGAGGAAGTTTTCCTCAATGCAACACCTTAATACCAATGAAATCACAGATCCAGTGCTTAAAAAAAACAACAAAAACCCAAAGCAACAATACGAAACAAACAAAAAATCTCTCTACCTTAGTGACCTTAGTAAGATGTTTCACTTTTCTGTGCCTCAGTTTCCTCATCTATAAAATGGGGTGGGGGGGTTTGACTATAATGCCTCTGAGCTTCCTTCTACCTCTAAGTTTATGGTCCCCAGAGCTCTGTACAGAGCTAGGTGCTTAATCAATGTTCGTTGGATTGAATAACAGACTAAGGCATTGGAAGACCTGGCATCATTAAAATAAAAAGTAAATTCTGCCTTGTCTAGTTTCATCATCAAGCATTTTTGATGAAGCATGTCTTCAGTACTTCAAGGACAGCACGTTTTCATCAGTGAGAGTACTCTCTCTACTCAGACAGATCACAATTGCCTCTGTCTCATGGTAGATGCTTCCAGAAGTTGTCATAGCCCCGAATACTTAATGAATATGTGAAGGATATGAACAGTTGTCTTCCTTTTAAAATGTTTACTTGTCACCTTTGGTTTTTATAACTTCTTCATCTCTGAGTATGTCACGTATCCTTCCTTTGCTATTCTGACAAAGAATAGAAAAGAAAAACTCCAAAAGAAGTCATTTAGCAAAACCAATCGACACATAGATCGAGTCCATGCCCCAAATCTCTCACCACCCCAGAGAAGAAAGGCAGGTACATTCTTCCTCTTCTTCTGGATCAAACTCCATCATAATTACATGGCATTCAGCATTCAGCTTTGATTTCTTGCTGATGAACAGACGATTTTTGAGAGAAGAGTTACAAGTTGTTATTAATTACTTGGAAGAATGCTCGATCTAATAATCAAAGGGATACAAATTAAAACAGCTTTGGGGTGCCACTCCATAGATGTTACATTGACAAAAATAACTAAAAGCAACAAAATCTTGGCTGGCAGAATTGCAAATAGAGAATCTTCGGAGTGTGTTCTGGTAGTCCATAGTAAAAGTTACATAAATTATTGCACCCACTGACCAGGAATTCTATTTCTAGGAATATACCTTGATGGCATGATTTAAAAGAAAAAAGAGCAGTCTGTTCAAGTATTTCGATAGCAATATTTTATATAATTGCAAGAAAAAAAATGGAAATAATTTAAATGTCCAATAATTTTAGCTATCATTTAAGGTTTGCAAAGAACTTTACAAATTTAATTCTTTTGATCATCACAACAACCCTGGGAGACAGGTGCTATTATTAGCATCTTCATTTTATAGATGAGTAAACAGGCAGACAGAGGTTAAATGGCTTGCCTAGGATCATGCAACAACTATGTTTCTGAGGCTGGATTTGAACTCAGGTCTTCCTGACTCCAAGACTAGGGCACTATCTATTGCACTGCCCAGCTGCCTATATTTCATTGATATAAGAACATTGGTGAGGAAAGTCCCCCTACTGTTAGAGATTGGTACCTATTGGGCAAGTATGTCCTCAAAGAGCTTCCTGGGACATGTGACCTGAGCAGGTCACCACAGTCAGTGTGGCAAGGCTAAATTTGAACCTGGCTTTCTGTCCCTACAACACACCACCACACTGAATGGGTTGCTATGGAACTCCATGATAAAATTAAGATAGATACATAGAAGGAATTCAAAGAAATTGGTGGCCTCATAAAATAATGCAAAGTGAAAGAAAAAAGCAGAGCCAGAAGGAGTATTCACTAATTATGAACCCCAGAAGAGGGAAAATGAATGAGAATGAACAGAGAAGTGACTAAAATATGCTAAGGATAGAGTATTTTATGGGCTAAAATTCAGTTTAATAAAACATTTCATTGAACCAATATTTATTACCTGGGAGCCATCTCTCTGACAATGAGTCCCAACTTTGCTAGGCTAGTCGCCAGATGATAGATGTTTAGTCAGTCAGTCAACCAGCTTTTTTAAAGCTTTTAGAGTTAATCATCCTTCCCTGGATCCATTTTCAATATTTTTCTAGCTTGATAGGGCATGCTTAAACTTAAAAATATATATATTTTAGAGGCAGAGCAAAGATGGCAGAGAAAAGGCAGTGACTCACCTGAGCTTTCCCCAAAACTTCTCTGAACACCTTTAAATAATGCTATAAAACAATTCCTGGAGTGGCAAAGTGGCAAAAGGATGAGGTGAAATACTTTTCCAGCCAAAGACAACTTAGAAGGTAAGGAGGAAAGGTCTGTCACACCTGGGTGAGAGAGGAGAGCAGACCAGCGCAGGCCATGACGCAAACCAGCAGTAGGCCTTGGGGGTGATTGAATCAACAGTGATAGCAGCCCACATAGAGTAAGGGGTTCAAACAACTGATCAGGAGATTACAGGGGTCTCTTTGCTGGCACTGAGGTAAGACTCTGTTGCTTTGCCCATACTTGGATCTGGGTCACAGTCCTGGGGCGAGGAATAGCACTAGCATAGCAGAGCTTGAGGCAACAGTGGAGAGGAGACCGTCCTCACAGTTCCAGGGCAGAAAAGAGTGCTTGTGGTCACTCACAGACCACAGCACAGGCGAGGAGAGGAGTAAACAGCTCTCCTTAGATCATGCACCTTGGAAGAACTGAAAATTTACAGGTCCCTAGAAGAATGTCTGAAAACAGCTGCACAAAATCCCTGAAGCTTGGAACAGTTCGCCCTCCACACTGGAAGCAGAGCCCTACCTTAACAAAGGGTCAAGTAATAGACTTGGAACATGAGCAAACAATGGAAAAAAACTGTGACTATAGAAACTTACTTTAGTGACAAGGAAGATCAAAACATATGCTCAGAAGAAGACAACAAAGTCAAAGCTCCTACATCCAAAGCCTCCAAGAAAAATATGAATCGGTCCCAGGCCATGGAAGAGCTCAGAAAGGATTTTGAAAATCAAGAAAGAGGGGTAGAGGAAAAATTGGGAAGAGTAATGAGAGTGATTCAAGAAAATCATAAAAAAAGAGTCAACAGCTTGGTAAAAGAGACACAAAAAAATACTGAAGAAAACAACACAAAAAATAGATTAGGCTCAGATTCTTAAAATCTAGTCACTGCTCAGATTCTTATAATCTAGCCAATAGCTCACTAATGTTCAGACTCCTTAAGAGTCTGCTCAATATGGCAGATGTTCTAATAAACCTTGTCTTTGGCTGAAAGAAGGTTTGGGTTGAATTCTTTTGACCAGGACCCATGTGTTGTAATTTTGGGGTCTCAGCACCCCTAAACCTCAACATTTTGGTGGCCCATATGGAGAAACTGCCTAACCCCAAGTTCTTCTCCAGCCAAGACTGGAAGGTATGTAAACCTCCCCCACCCTTCTTTCTTGCCCTGCACTCTCCAAGCATCTAGGAAGGCTTGGAGGTGCTTTTCGGGCAGAGAGTTATGAGGCTATCTCGCACTCAGCCTGATGCTCTCAGGTTCTCAGTTCACTGGCTGTTTGAGGCCATGGAGCTGGGTACACCTTCCACACCATAGAGGACAAGGAAGGATGCCCCTATCCAGAAGCATATGCCCAATTCTGTCAATTCTTTCGGCACTAGAGAATTGGGAAAACTGTAGGTGCTTTTTGGTTCCATGAGGCTTACTTACTCCCTTCCCTCTAAACCCCTGGATCCTCCTTCATGGAGGTTACAGGGAAAAGTTAGAACAGCTAAAAACATCTTAGCAGATTCTGGAGGTTTTGTGATCAATCATTAAGGAGTTTCTAGATACCTCAGTACAACCTGGTCACTCCCTTTTCTTGAGTCAAGAGGATATCTGTTAACCCCTCTCGTAAGAGAAGAGAGTTTCACCCTTTTCTCCTCACCTTTGATTTTGCCCTCCCTCCACCTGGGGAAAGGAAGGAGGGGGGAGGGGCAGCAGCTACAGTATGGGCAGCAGCTACAGTATGCCCTCCTGGCAATGGCTTTGGGCCGGAGGGCAACCTTACCTGGAAGCATCACCCAGGTTCAGCACATCCTGCTCAAGGTAAAGAAGCTGGCCTCTGAACTTGGACTATAGGCCATTCACCTACAGTTGATAGCAGACAAAGGGTACCAGCCAATGTCCCCCCATCATTTCCTGGATGCGGCCTGGGCTTGGTTCTAGTCACCCTCCTCTTTGGGATCCCCTTGAGGAAGGGACAGCTCTATGCTCCTTGCCAGCAGGAAGCAGTTTCAGAAGCCAAGACCTTCACCCCTTACCCCAAAAGAATTTGGGTCCCATTTGTTTGAGGGGGTAATGATGAGGATGGGATCTGCACCCCAGAAAGAAAAAACCCTGGACTTTCCTACATGGCCAAATCTCTGCCATTTGCCTGAGGCTATAATCCCATCAACTGGCCTTTTATTATCACCTATACCCAGTCTCCCATTTCTCTTGTTACCCTTAACCTAGCCTAGCCCTCCATTGTCTTATCTCCCCCTATGTTTCCCCCCCTCCACTTCCCACCCTTAATCCTAACTAGACTCCATTCTCCCTTGGCCACATGGTCTAGTTCCCTGGCCCTGTATTACCTCACAGTCCCCCCAAAGACTACTTGGCCATTCCTAGATCCCTCCCATAGTCTTTCTGCATATAAGGTCGATCTTATCTCCATTAAGGTGCTCAGATTCTTAAAATCTAATCTAGCCAATAGCTCACTAATGTTCAGACTCCTTAAGAGTCTGCCCAATATGACAGATGTTCTAATAAACCTTGTCTTTGGCTGAAAAACAAACAAACAAACAAACAAAAACCAGACTAGGCCAAATGGTAAAAGAAGTCTAAAAAGTCAACAAGGAGAAGAATGCCTTAAAAAGCAGAACTAGCCAAATGGAAAAGGTCACTGAGAAAAAGCTCACTGAAGAAAATAATTCCTTAAAAATCAGAATTGAGAAAATGGAAGCTAATGACTTTATGAAAAATCAAGAAATAATAAAACAAAACCAAAAGAATGAAAAAAGGGAGGGAAGGAAGAATAAAAGAATTTGGAACTAAAAATCTTATAAAAATGAATGTTAAAAACTATCTTTACATGTAATTGGAAAAAATAAAATACTATTAAGTGAGAATGAAATTTAAAAAATTTTAAATTAAACAAAAAAAGAAAAGAAAAGAAAAGATGAGAGAATGGTCTCAGAAAAACCTGGAGACTTATCAAAGCTAATGCAAAGTGACATGTACTGTGTACAAAGTAACAGCAGTATTGTAAGATGATCATCTGTGAATGACTTAGCTATTCTCAGCAATACAATGATTCAAGCCAGCACTGAAAGACTTATGATCAAAAATGCTATCCATCTCTAGACAAAGAACTGATGGTGTCTGAACACAGATTGAAGCATACTTTTTTTACTTCCCTTATTTTTCTTGAGGTTTTTTTTTTGTCTATGTTTTCTTTCACAACATGACTAATATAGAAATATGTTTTGCATGACTCCATATATTGAATTACTTGCCTTCTCAATGAGAGGGTTGGAGAGGGAG